CTGCTGACACTCAGTAATCTTCATGAAATGTTCCTTTTATTCCAAAAAACAACAACCAACTGAACACCTGAATTTCAGGTTTGGAAAAAGGAAGAGCAATTAATACAGCAAGTTTATATGGGATTTGGTTCATGCTTTTGTTTATCAGCCAAGAATAAATATTTAAATCATTCACCAGAACAAGGACAATGTTCAGTGCAGCAGTAAGTCTCAGTGCACAGAAGGATTAGCTTGAGTGATTACAGGCAGCATGTAAAAGCATAAAAATGTTTCATAACCATACACAAACCCAGTGGTTTTCCTGCACACAACTCCACAAACATGATCTAGGAGTCAGGGTGCCCAACCTGGAGAATACTAGTCAATTTACAGAAATAACTGGGTTTTTTGGCTCATTATTTAAATACTAGAAGCAAAGGAGACCTTTAAAAAAGGATAGGTTAGACAACTATCACCCAAATTTCTCATGCTCACAGTGTTTTGGGTGCAAACCCTCCCCTCAGTTTCACAGCCACAATCGCCGTCTTCAAGAAATGGACCACTTTAAACTTTTCTGGCAATCACAGCCCAGACCACTTAAGGCAATGAAATTCTCACACCTTTAATATGAACTCATGTGTGGGATTCCCAATCCTATCTTCTGATTCCACATTATATTCCCGAGCTAAAGGCACCGTTGGTTTATAGAGCCGCCAGTGTTTCTCGCCTTCCAGCTGAAGGATAAACACCTGCAAAAGACCATCAATCCAAATCCATAAGGAAGTAATTCCTTTCACGTTAATTTTTAGATAGCTACAATTCAGAGAAATTGAAATTTGAACGCATTTTTTTGGTCTCTATTTAGAGACAACAGACAGAGGAGTTGTGAAGTGGGATCTGTTTTATCCTAAGGCAGGCATTTGGAAATCCCTGTTTCTCTCCAGTCACTTAAGTAAGTGCTAGAGAACTAACCCAAAAGGAACATCTGCCACACAAATATCCAAAATTTCAGGTGAAAGAGGCTTATCCCCAACAGAGCATCAGAAACCTCTCTATAGGGTGCCCAATGGGGGTTGATGGCATGAGTCAGAAATGCTGGATGTGAAGCTGCTGAACAACAAGCGTAAGGAAGATGAAACTCCAGGTGTATTTAATGGAAATGAAAATATTAAAAAGCAAAATATACATATAAGGATTGGATTTTTTTATTTGGTTAAGGTGGGATGGTCCAACTTTTTTTTTTAATGCAGTGTATATTTGTATGTTTTGTTTAGAAGTTGATTTAAAATGCATTTGGACCACAGGAATTCATCATATCGGTAACTTCTTAAAAACAGCAGGACCAACAAGCACAACCAGTCTGCTGTTACAGTCCAGCTGAAAAAAGTAAAGGAAAAGGGACTTGTAAATTCTTTGGGCCTGAATGAAGTGAAAATGAAAAAACTGGTGCTGGAAAGCTTCTGCAGCTGTGAAAACAAACTTCTCTTTTCATCTAATGGAAATACCAGGTCTGGAAAACCCAGTTTACATGATATTATGATTAGGCATTACTATTAGTACATTTTCAGCAAAAATATGTAAGAAAAACGACTACAAGGAAACACAAATAAAACCCCCCATTTTTCTATAATGTTTAGTGAGGGGGAGGGTTAGAAGCACACACACAACAGCAATTGTTGCCATCAGCAAAAGCCCGTGCACAATTTCACAGGGAAGGTTGTGCTGTCCTACCTCAACATCATCATAGTGAGGGGGAAGGCCCTGGGATCCCTGGGGAGTGATGTAAACATTGGACCCCACCAGAGACCCAAAGTAGCACTCCAGCTTCTCCTGAATCTTCCACAGCTCCTCCTGTAAAAAAAAAAAGATGCTGTTACTTGCTGAACAGCTCAGCCAAGCCCAGCCCACATCCTCCCCATGGCTTGGGAAGAATGATCCCATCAGGGACACAGAGGCTGGGAAGGAAGGTGCTCTGTACCAGTGTTTCTCCTGAAGGAGAGCACTGGAGATGCAAAGGGGATCTGCCATGAGAGTAATTGCTAAGCCAAAAAGTCTGGTGCCCCAACCTGTGTTTGTTCTCTTCCCTGTGCCATCTTTAGGCTGCACAACCAGACAGACAAGGCTGAACAGAGGAAAATAATCCCACAAACAACAAAACATCATAAGACAATAAGCACATGCAGGACCTGCATTCTTTCACCAGAGGGAACATACAAAGGTTAGAGACCTTTCACCAGTTACTCCAATGATTTGGGAATATTCAAAACCAAACTTGACTCATCCACACCCCACATGTGACAGACAAGGCACCAAAGGGAAACAGCAGAACGTGTCAAGTACCAGACCCACACAAGTGCAGCCTGGCCATTAAAACTGACATCAGCCAGGAACACTATACCTGGGACTCAGCCTGTATTTGGGATCTTATTTGGGTCCACCTCACAATTAAATTGTGTTGACACCTTCAGGACTACCTGAATCAAAGCACCTCCAAAAATCCAAGTCCTTTACACAACTGTGCAGCACCACTGTCTCGTTCTCAAACACAAGGACTGAGGACACTCAGCTAAAATGGGTTGGTAACTTTCCATGGTGCAATTCACTGGCAAGAACACTGGAAATACTTCACGTGGTTTCACACCTTACCCTCCATTAAAGAGAAGTGGCTCAAAAGCCACAAAGTCTCCATAAGGAAACAGTGGGGCAGAAGGGATAATTTAAGCACAGATGCCTAATCATCAATTTTGTGCATTTGGGTTTTTTTCCAAACTTTTATGTGACAGAGTAAAATTTTAAAAAGAATATATTATTATACATATTATAGCATGAATCAGATTTTGTTCTTACTGCAGAGCAGTGAAACATGATGGACAGTGCAAAAGTATAAACTCTGTTTTAATACAGCTCATGTAAAGATTTCAGCGAGTCATCAATGTCAACCACTTCCCCTGGGGACAGAGATGAAGCCATGTCTAGTGCAACTCAAGCAAAACACCACATTATTAAGCCAGCATTAATTATATCCAGTGAAATAATCCCACCTTAAATCTCTGAGGCTGATGAAACTGTATTGTTGCCTTTTTCTGGTCAAAATCCTTCTTCAGCTGCATGTAATTCACTTTGCCTTCTTTATTTAAAACCTTCTTCTTTCCATTCACACACCTGCAGATATTCACATCTCGCCCATAGTACAGGCCCTGGCTGCACAGCTCCTTCAAGTCTGACAGCTGGAACAGGGACAGGTAGTAAGCAGCCACCAGGGGATCATTTCTCTGGACGAGCAGTGGCTTTTGCTCCCAGTACTCCTTGAAAAACACCTCTTCTTTGATGGGGGAGATCAAGCTCCCAAAGAGGCTGTCTGGGTTCTCAAAACTCAGCACTGAGGGAGAACAAGCTGCTTCCAGCTTTGCTCGTTTACACTGTGTCTGTGTTTCTTTTCCCATTTCAGCATGCTTCCCTCCTTTCTTGGGCATGATTCCTGTTCAAGTGGAGAGAGGACCAAAACAGTCAACCAGCAACACAACCTCAAGAGCTCACGGGCCCAGAGCAGCAACTCTTACCCTACCCAGTGGGATATCAGAGTATCCCGGGAACAGCTCTGGTTTCAGAGCCTCACTATTTGCTCCAAGCATTAACAGTTTACAGAAGACAGGGAGCATTGTTAGGCCTTCCTGTTGATGCTGTGTAATTACTACATTTACAAGCTTAAAACTTGTAAAATTTATCAGTTTAAGAACTAAAAGGCCAAGATTCTGCTTTCAGTCCTGTCGAGCTGTCAAACTTTGTTTACGCAGAACAAAAAGAATTCTTTCATACAAGCACAGACATTTAATTTTAAAGCTGGAAGTCATTTACTTTGTTTTTCCCAGGCAGATAGTATGATTGTGTACCATTATGCAAAAATAAAGAAGTTGATCTACAAATGGTTTGGCTGCCAAGTTTTCAGGAAAGTTGAGGGGAAAATCAAGTAACGGTAGGTAACTGTGGAAGTCTGGGAAGCCAACACCTGAGAAGTCTGAACGTGCTGATGCCATAATTTCTAAGTAAAAATGACAGCTCTACTCCCTACACGCATTTGATAGGAAATGCTATCAATTTGTTGAGATGCTTTTATTTACACAGATCTCGTATTTTGAAACTTAAACTCCAGTTCTGCAGCCCTAAGTTCTTCTGTGCAGCAGGACACCCTTGCTGGCCCACTCCGGGGCAGTGTTTCATCAGCAGTTCCTGCACAGCCTGTCCCTCAACAATAACTGAGGGTCACCTCAGCCCTGCAGGAGGGAATTCACATCACCTCCTTCCTGGGAGGATAGACATTCCCAACTGCAGCATGAGGCAAGGGAATGCGTAAAAAATTAAAGACTGAAAATCAGTCCCTGACTGACAGCAAGATCTGAAGATGCTGCTGAAGGCACCAAGATCTAAAGCTGACATCCCCAAACGCCAGCAACACAAATGCAACCAAGCCTGGATTAACAGTTTTGAATTCCAGCCCTAAATCCATTGTACCAATCTCTCAGCTCACTCACGTTGATTTAAAGTCACATTCAGACATTTACTACTCACAGAACGCAGCTTCATTTACAACACGTGCTGTTCTGTAGCGTTCTGCTAGTTATTACAGCTGTTCCAAGCCCCCTGCCATGGGCAGGGATACCTTCCACTAGATCTAGTTGCTCAAACCCCATCCAACAGGATCCAACAGGCCTTGAGCACCGCCAGGGATGGGGTATCCACAGCTTCTCTGGGCAACCTGAGCCAGTGCCTCACCACTCTCCAGCAGAAAAAAATTCTCCCTTACATTTAGTCTAAACCTAAATCATTAAGCTTAAAACCATTGCCCCTTGTCCTGTGCCTACAGGCCCTC